CCAGCTTTCTGGTGACCGCGCCGCAGAATAAAAGGTCCAGTCTACCCGTCTAAAAACCCTTGAAATTGGCGCTAGATTCGCACAACATAAGCAATAAGCATGATGTACGTACAGCCCACCGCTAAAGTAATGTGTGGTTTTACCAATCTCAACGGATGGCTTTGACCGACGATTTTTAAATGCGGACTGATTGAAAAGAAGACGTCAATAGATAAAGTTGTAGCTGCAAGGGTGAAGATACATGTAAGCTACATTTAAAGTCTCGTTGCAGTCTGGCTAATCGTTCCTTGGCTTCAGAAGCAGAACATACCCATGACTGAAACCACACATTACTTCTGCTGTGGACTGTGCATACCTACAAAGTAACCAAGATTACATTCAGTTACACTTGTATTCCAATTATGCGTCGGGTTGACAGATGAGATAGGTATCGACAATTGTACCTTCATCATTAGTACTAAGATTCTGAGTGTAGTCCTTTTTCATTTACCCAATGCACCGTGCTATGGCGGGTTTACCCTTCAGGAAATGGTAAAAAAGTTTTCAGTGTGCTAATATTTGTGTGAGGGGTAAATGAAATATTGTTGATAATATTTGTGAATATTTGTGTGTGTGAGGCAGTCGCCCACTGTAATAGAGGGAACCCCCTGACGTGAGCCGAGTGAGGTAGCCAATAGCCATGTTTGATTTTTTTCTGTACGTTTATGATGAATGAATGAGAGCTCGGTACTTCGGTGCGGGGTGTTGGAGTAATTGTGTTGCCCGTGTGGCTTGAGATCGGATGAAATACGACAGAAAAGACGAGGATCGACGAGTAGTTTTTTTAGAGGCAGCTACCGAAGAGCGAGTTGGGCGTTGGCTCTAACATTTGCAAAAGTTAAAATTCGAGAACGTGTAATGGTTTATGCCAGTGCCCTCCCAAGTTCATCTACACCTAAATGGTTCTATATTATCCTGCATAGCCTGTCCCGTAGCTCAGTTGGTAGAGCATTGGACTCCCGGTAGTGAGAGCCCGGGTTCGAGACGCTCCGGCGCTCGATATTTGAGACTCCTGACAAGGATGGTCTGCGGTTGGTGAGTGCAGCCGCAGCCAGTTGAAGTCAGTTGAGTGGGACAGGCCGTGTCCGGCTTTGAATGGCACGTTAAACTTTGGCATCTAAATTCTCCCGTTACCGGAATTGCGCGATCGGACGGTAGGGGTCGGGGTCTACGCAACAAGCTCTGCTTAGCGTGGGCTCCGGCTCTGTCAATCCGTCCATTCAAACATTCGAGCTAGATTTATTAAAGAAATAGTTATAGTTACTGTCTGTGTGACCACTGAAGGCCTCCAGCGTGGGGCCGGCCGCTCCCGAGTCCGCTATCGCTATCTCAGCTCTGTGTGGCGCCCGCGCCTCCACTGCCTATCTGTCGGGGCACCATGCCCGCACGATGGCTGACCGGTGTCCACTGCCAATTTTGTACGGCGCGCTGACGGCGCAGGTCGTGTCGCGCTCCTTGGTGTGGTCAGTGACACAGTCGGCGCTCCGTGTAGGGTGCCCGGTCGGCTGCCGGCAGCGGGCTCCCGACCGCCGCGCCCGGCAGCTACACATCCACACAGCCCGCCTGAGCCTGCCTGATCCTGCCATCCGATTTATCGTAGAAATCAGAGCGATCGAATATTTACAAGGGATTATAAACCTATAATATAAAATTTTGCGTTTACCGATACCATTGTTGAAATGAAACATCTATCGCCGCCTATCGCGTCCTTCGTATATCTAACTACTAGAAATGTGAAGAGAAATGAAAATTGATACTCCCGAAATGCTTATGATCGAATCGAATAATCGAATCGAATTGAATCGAATAAAACCAGGCTTTGCCTGCCCAAACATGTGATGGGAAAAGGTGCCAGCCGCCTAGGTACGTTCCCGTATATCTACATACACGCAACCTAACTACCTATACCACAATAACCTTGGAGCAATGTCGTCATGCAGTTCTTGTCATCAAACATTTTAATCGGTAGCAACACAATTTCACCAGCCTTCACAGCCCACAGAACATAGTGATAGGTGAGTCATAAAAACGCCACATTGAGGCTTGCCAAGTCCTGCTCCGGCCGTAACGCGTCCGTTAGCCAGTCTGCGACGTTCGGGTAAGGGGGGGGGGGGGGCTGGCCCGGAGGCGAGGCCGCTGGAGCAAGGAGCCGGTCCGGGGAAGGCCGCTGGAGGAGGGGGCGGCCCGGGGGAGGCCGCTGGGGGAGGGGGCGACCCGGAGTCGAGGTCCGCCACCGGGCGGTGTCTCCGGCCCGCCGTCCGGCACCTGCAGGGCGGGCACCGTGCAGGCACAGGGACACAGGGCGGAGATCCGGGCTGACGCACGGTGGCGACATCCGCCGACGTCCCGGCCGACACATCAGCTCATCAATCTTGCACCTCGGCAGCGGCGCGCGGCGGCTCGGCGGCGCGTTCCGCGCGCTTTTCCCGCGGCTGGCGAGTGGAACGCGGTGTCGTCCCACGGACTCTGGCCAGTGTGACCCGGTGTCCCACGGACTGGGGCGAGTGTGACCCGGTGTCCCACGGACTGTGGCGAGTGTGACCCGGTGTCCCACGGACTGTGGCGAGTGTGACCTGGTGTCCCACGGACTGTGGCGAGTGTGACCCGGTGTCCCACGGACTGTGGCGAGTGTGACCCGGTGTCCCACGGACCCTGGCCAGTGTGACCCGGTGTCCCACGGACTGTGACGAGTGACACCCCCGTCCCTGACCCACGAACCCTGGCGAGTGCCACCATGTGCCACACAGACTGTGGCGAGTGTGACCCGGTGTCCCACGGACTGTGGAGAGTGTGACCCGGTGTCCCAAGGGCTGTGGAGATTGTGACCCGGTGTCCCAAGAGCTGTGGCGAGTGTGACCCGGTGTCCCAAGGGCTGTGGCGAGTGTGACCCGGTGTCCCACAGACTGTGGCGAGTGTGACCCGGTGTCCCACGGACTGTGACGAGTGACACCCCCGTCCCTGACCCACGAACCCTGGCGAGTGCCACCATGTGCCACACAGACTGTGGCGAGTGTGACCCGGTGTCCCAAGGGCTGTGGAGAGTGTGACCCGGTGTCCCAAGAGCTGTGGCGAGTATGACCCGGTGTCCCACGGACTGGGGCGAGTGTGACCCGGTGTTCCACGGACTGGGGCGAGTGTGACCCGGCGTCCCACGGACTGGGACGAGTGTGACCCGGTGTGTATGAACGGGCAAACTCACAGCCGCGCGAACCGGCAGCATCCCTGCGCAACTCGTCTCTGACTCGGCAACACTGTATTACCTACAATCAGGGGTGCGGAGCCGGAGCCGGAGCCGCCGGAGCCGGCACATTTTTGCCCGGAGCCGGAGTCGGAGACGGAGCCGCCATGACATTTCATCCGGAGCCAGAGCCGGAGCCGATTTTATTTCTCCGAAGACGGAGCTGGAGCCGAAGCTGTCTGAAATTTCCACGGCTCCGCATCCCTGCCTACAATGACAAAAACATTATACAATATATGTACAGGTGATTTTGCATTGTACGAGAGTGAAATTAGAATAGCTTACCATGAACAGCAAAATGAACAGGTGATGTGATGACTGATGATTGGTTACGATTGGCCAAATGTGTTCATCATACCGTTTTAGTTTCTTGCTTGCAAGCAACTTGATCTGACTATCATTATTCGTTATTGGATTTGGTCAGCTCGGCCTAGCCCCTAGCGCATCGTTTTCCTAATGCTCCTATTGATACCACACTGGGGAGATGGAAATACACGTAGGGAGGTAGGCACCTACCTAAAACTTTGATCTAAATAATTCTTAGTAAATCAATATAGGCACAAATATCTCAAGTACATAGAAGATGACTTTCTAGTAACCATCAATTAAGATATAAAGTTACGCAAGGCAAATATGCCTATATTCTTTGATGCTGTGATTTGCGAAGCCACTGCGCGGTTCGAGGCTGCCTGCTCCCACGTTTCATGCCAGCCGCCGCGGGCCCCGTTCCTCGCCACAAGGCCGCACTGGCGGCAGACTGCCTGGGAGGTAGGCAGGCCCGCAATGCAGCAGTTGGACGGCCGCCCAGCTCGCAACGAAAGTGAAATTAACGCGTGCACTATGCCGGACTGCGTAATGGTTTAAACATGATGTTCGAGCAGTTCTATCGGTAAAATGCGATATCTCAGCCTGTTTCCACGGCGATGCATATCGACGAGGTCAGGCAGCATTTTACACCGTTACATTCTCTGCAAGTGAGGCCGTGTAGAAAATGGCAGTAGGTAGGGATAGGGTAGCTGCACCTCAGGAAACCGCACAATAAATTCAAGCCAACTAATGTTAGACGGCTAATTTTTGTAACCGGATGTTCAGACGTGTGTTATTTTATTGAAATAAAAGTTTACTGATAATTGTTTGAAGTCATCAGGCAGGAACGAATGCATTAAATGTTCACCGTTAAAACGCACGTTTAAGCCTAATAGCAGCTAGCCTACAGCACGTCAGTATTTCTGGGTGAGGGGCTATAGCTTCAACAAACTGACAACTAGATGACACCAGGCATGGTGGGAGTCAAAGTTGGACGAGACCTTGATGACATGCTCTGGCATATGTAAACCTTTCGTCACAGCATTCTGTTGGTGAACTGGAATTGCGCGACCGAGACGCTGGACTGGTGTTGACGCAATCAGCTCTGGCCAGTGGCGGGAGAAGGGCCGTGGCTGGCCGGCGGCAGCCAAATGTCCACCGCGCCGCCGTGTGGAGACAGCATAGAGCAATAGGCACAGCGCCAGTTTCGGCTCGCGCCAAGGCATCCTTGGTGCTCCATTATCATTCAGCTACTATCCACGCGATTAGCATCGCTGTATAAATTTCATCATCCAGTTCACATGTGATGAATCTTTCGAAAATGATAAACTACCGTCTGAAATCCTGTCAGGAGGCTAGGGCCGGCCGGCGCGCTGGGCCGTGTGTCCACCGGTCTGATGAAGATGCCTGCGGGCGGCCGCTGTCGGAGTGGGACGCGCAGCACGCGGCGCCCGGGGTCAGTGGAGCTAGCTGCGGCGGCCGAGGCGGCCGAGCCCCGCTGCACGCGCCGCCGTCCTATCACACCTGCCATCGGTGAGAGTGAGTGCCTCGGCGGCAGAGCCGGCCGCCGCCACGGCCGCTCAGTCGGGCCCGACACAGTGGCACGGTGCACGACGCTGCCACCGAGCCGGCGAGCGGCAGCCACCATGGCGCTGGCACGCGCCGCCCCGCCGCTGCTGCTGCTGCTGCTGCTCTCGGTCGGCGCCGCCAGCGGCCAGCTGCAGAGGAGCGCCGACGAGGACCAGCAGCTGCGCCAGCTTGTGCGCGAGGCCGTCAGCGACGCGCTGCGGTCGCAACTGGGCGAGTACCGCTGCGGAGGCGGCAACATCAGGAAACGACAGGCACCGGTAAGAGACGGGACGCTGGCGGACGGCGCGGTGGTGGGAGCCCCGCTCGTCGCCGCGACGGGCCACTGCTTCCCACGGCATCCCACTGACACAGGCCTGCTGATACATCAATGGTTCTGTATCGTGGGTATCATATGGGCCGGAATGATTTCTTGAGTATCCTGGCTACTGTTTGATTTTCTTCCCTTGACTGTGGCGAAATACTTATCAACAACGACCTCTTCTGCACTAAGGATATAATTTACCCGTTACCGGCCCCCTGTGGTGCATTATATACCTATTAATTACTATCATGAATATTAAACATCAAAAGCATGGGCATCTTTTTATAGAGTCCTGACATGAGATCCTGTCATTGCCAAGTTCGAAGTCATTGTAGGTAATGGGAACAAACTTGACACCACTTCATTTCACACGTGGCACGTGCAAAGGTAGTCACTCACATGAATTCAGAGTAGTCCGATGTTTGATAAAAATGATGTAACTACTCTTAAAGGAAAAGGGCCACCTTCGTGAAATATGAAGATATCGTTGTTTTTCATTTTGACATTATTATTTTTCATTTTCTTTTTAAAACTGGTGCCAGAAGTGCACAATTCGCTAAAAAGTATTTAAAACTATTTAACATATTGGTACTATGTTGATACTCTCTACGGCACCTACTGTATGATGGCATAGCGATGACGTCACACTCAAGCCAATCAGCGTTCAGAAGACAGACTCGTCGGATTGTGTCAGATAAGCTGATTGGTTAAAGCTGAGCTGGTTGGAGCTGATTGGTAAAAAACCAAAGCCTCGCCGCGGGTGGCTGTATTGTCGGATAAGAACGCATTCCTGGGATAAGGACGCATTCCTGGCGTATTTTCTTTTAAAATTGCCGATAACTACGAATGGAGGCCGAAATCGGCCGTAAGGAGGTAGACAGATAGGTTTTCGGACACGGGCTACAAGATGGCTATCTCAGTTTCAATCCCCATGTTAAAGGTGGCCCTTTTCCTTTAAAAAAAGACCATAAGTCAATTGGTCCAGCGGTTGCTGTGATAAGGTCTCTCAAAATCGTTACAAGTTTGACAAAAACAACTTTGACACCTTTGACGTCTCAAGTGGCATATGACACGACGATCACCCACCTGCAATAAAGAGTAGTCAAATGCGGGGTAAAAGGGATTCCCGACAAAAAAAAAGACTGCAGGTGAATGCAGTGATAGAAGTATCAAGTATATACTTCGCGTCATCATAAGTTTCCAAAAAATATTTATTTCTTGCCGCAATTTATGATTGATTCCAACCAATAGGTATCGTAGTGAAGTTGCGTTGGGTTCCGGTGGTTGGTGACATTTGTGACATTAGTGAACTAACCCTTATAATAAATAGATGCTGATTTTTTTAAAGATGCTGATTTTTTTAAAGGTATCGTTACTTAACCCTCGCCCGCACATGCCATTTTCCCATCCTAGAACGCACATGGGGGGGGGGGGGTGGTTGCCACCCCCCCCCCCCCCCGCGCCATTTCGTTCCTGTTGAAGATAGAGCTTAGCGGTAAAGACCAAAAAGATTCTTTGGGAAGAGACGAATCCAATGATACCCAGTTTTACCTTCTCAGGTCGGTCATTGACCTTCCAGGTCAGGTCAAACTAAAAAACGTTGCTGTTTTGGGTCACCGTTGGATATCAAGTGCGCTGCTGATCATATACCGATGACGATGCCGTTTTCTGGCGCCAAGCCAGCTAGAACCTCTTTGTCACACTACCCGACCAGGTTTTTGCTGCTGAGGTCATTTCAGGTCAAGTTAGGTCAAGGTCAATTATATGTGTTTGTATGTCTGTGTGTGTCTGTGTGTATACTGATGTGTGCACCGATTGTTTATGTGTCCATATTACATGAAATCATGATCTGAAAAGCTTTTACCAAAAATGCAGTAAAAAAACTTCACAAAAAGTAAATTCCGCTTGCCTAAAACGCTATTATCCTAGATGACCTAGGTTGACCTTGACCCTGACCTTGACCTCTGTACATCGTCGAACAACATGTTCCATGATAGGTGGGAGGTAATACTGGCAAAAAAGGCCGAAATCAAGGTGTCAAAAGCTCACAAGGCCCATAGCCAACGCAAGATGTTGAGAATTGGCCATTTGGGTCATGACATGACCTGAAAAACAAGGTCATATCTCCGAAACCAAAAACCACAGAAACTTGAAATTTTCAGGGGGCATCAAGAAAGGATAGAGGAGCAGCAATACGAAAAATAAGCCTTCTAGCTCTAAAAATGTTGAGTGCAGAGCAGAAAGACTACCTGGGGGGGGGGCAACCACCCCCCCCCCATGTGCGGGCGAGGGTTAACCCGGCAGTTGCTGGGGTATTTCGCCACCCACCGTTTGCTGGGGGGGGGGGGCGTTAAACGCCCCCAGCCGATAACTCGAGAACCAATAGGCGCAGCGAAACGCACGAGGCGGCAAACGAAAGAACGCGACGAGACGCTTCAGATGAGTACTTTAAAGTTGAATTTTGAGGTCACAGGTCGGGTCAAGGTCAGGTCAAACACCTGAAATCGGGCTTTCAGTAGCATGGACTTCAGGACTTCGCAATGGGCGCCTCTCGTCATAAACTCTGTCAAAACGGTGCACAATCCATCATATAAGGCCTACAAGAGTGTCAGCTCCATGTAGAGGTCAGTCAAGCATAGGTCAGGGTCAAGGTCAGGTCAACCGGGTAGGCACATATCCCCGAAAATCAAAACTGATATTCGCAGCCTGTGACACATGTTTTATGGGTAATTTGGATTGGGGCGTAGAACACGATGGTAACATTCATTTTATCATATGTGTACGTGTTTGGCACAAAAAGTTCAATTTAAGAAATGCATGTATCATGGTCGTGAAGTAGTCACGAGAAATTGGCAAGATTCAGTTCAAGATTTTGGAAAATGCATAACGATATTCAATAACCGAAGACAGACATTTGATTGTTCATGGTATTGGCAGTCTAACGGCGTTTACGGCATGTCTGTATGTCTATTCTGTGATTTTATATGATTTTTGAACATATGCCGTTTTTGGTCGAAAACTCAGAAATCATGACGTCACTAAATCCTCGATATCTCAAAAATTTTCCGACCGATTTTTTTTTGAAACTTTGTCACAATAAAGTTCAAGAAATTCCCTACAGGTACCCAAAATTTGGCGCGCCTGCGGCGCGCCGTTTTTATGCTATGGCCCGGTGAAAAAGTGGGGGCGTTTAACGCCCCCCCCAGCAACTCGCGGGTTAAAGGATCAAACAGATCAAATGGATGCACGATGTTCCGTCCTGAAAAGGGCTTACCTATATACATTTGTACTTAACTTTTATTGGCTTGATGAATAGGTACCTACATGAGAAATAGTGTTCTAACATCACCAGAAACATGAGCGATGCTTTTGAAAAGCTGAAATTAGGTCTGTCCATTACTCGTATATGTCAGCATTGATGTCCAGGTCCTCTTGAATTTGCAACAGGCACATAAACTATGCTGGTTGTTCAAACTTGCGAAGTAGGGCGAGTAATTTTATCAAGTGCTTTGATATTGCATCGGGTATCAGGCAAAGTAAGAAAAAATTGAGTGTGTGCACCACTCGCCATTATATTTAGCAGGCTCATGCTAAAGGTGTCGTCGGGCCGTAACGGCACAGTCAAATTTCATACGGGCGCACGCAGCCGGGATCAATTCATGGTTGTTGTGTTAGTATCCAGCTGGGCAGCAGCCGGATTTAGCGCGGCCGCGGCCAGAGACAGCCGCGCGGTGGCATCAGGTCTCTGTGAGCCGATCGGCTCCCTCTCGGCCTCAGCGCTGTCACTGAGGGTGGCCGATGTCAGACCGTGCGCGTCACCCATCGGTCACTGACGGCGTGACCCGTCAGCCGACACCGTCCAGCGACCATCACAATAAAATCATTTTTAATTGTTTTTTTAGGGTCATAGAATAACGCCTTTTGGGGCGACTAACGGAGCGAGCGAGAGGGTGGGCCTTGCGTGTGCGAAATTGCGAGGGGTTCCTCCAACTGACTTATGCACGGCACCCTACCTACTAACCGGTCTATAGCGATGTGCCGAATTTGAGCACAATCGGCCCAGCTGTTCTCGAGATCTGAAAGCGGCACCTTGCACTTGCGCACGTGCAAAATGGGTCCCAACTCCCAACTGACTTGTGCACGGCACCCTATATACTAACTGCTCCGTAACCGTGTACCAAATTTGAGCGCAATCGGTTAAGCCGTTCTCGAGATCTGGAATCGACCCCTGCACGTGCGCACGTGCAGCAGCACCCCAACTTTGGCACATGGATATGCATTGCCTAGTGGGTGCCTACCTACATGCCAACTTTCAGCGCAATCGGCCCAGTAGTTACCGAGATATTGCACCTATTACACAAGTGACACCTCTTCGTTTTGCACGTGGCACGTGCATAAGGGGTCACCCACATGCATCAGGAATAGTCCAATACTTGGTACAAGGAATGAAGCTACCCTACAAAAATTACCCCATGTAAATCGGTCAAGTGGTTGCTGAGATATAAGCCTCGCAAAATCGTGACCACGGCCGGCCGGCCGGCCGCTCATACTCAGAAATTTCGGTTAATCTAAGGAAAGACTACGCTCGCTTCGCTCGCTCCGTAATCATATCAGTTTTGAACGGCCCGGCACCATTATCCCGCGAGTTGCTGGGGGGGGGCGTTAAACGCCCCCACTTTTTTCGCCGGGCCATAGCATAAAAACGGCGCGCCGCAGGCGCGCCAAATTTTGGGTACCTGTAGGGAATTGATTGAAGTTTATTGTGACAAAGTTTCAAAAAAATCGGTCGGAAAATTTTTGAGAAATCGAGGTTTTAGTGACGTCATTATTTCTGAGTTTTCGACCAAAAACGGCATATGTTCAAAAAATCATATAAAATCACAGAATAGATATACAGACATGCCGTAAACGCCATTAGACTGCCAATACCATGGTCAATCAAATGGCTATCTTCGA